GTGGGTCTCAAACACTTGTTTTGTTTCAGAAACGCCAATGTTGGAGGATGCCGATGAAGGTGGAATAAAACTTTGGCACCTGGTAAAACCAACAGAAGAGCCGGAGCTCCCCAAGCACCGCCGAGGGAGCTTGCGAGACAGGGAACGAGCCAAGGCAATCCCGGAGATCTACCTGACACGTCTGCTCTCCATGAAGGTGAGAAGCACAGCTGGAGATCTTGGCCCCTCATGGCCCCCTGCCAGGTTGCAGGGGTTTGCATAGAGCCCCTGTGTGTAGGTGGATGCACTGCTGCTTGGTTCTCCTTAGATCCAGCACCACAGTACCCACCTCTTGCTCCTACCAATGGAGTAGGTTTTGTAGGGCTTCTAGGAGAGTGTGAAATGATTTTTATCCCTGTCCCCACACCGTTTGTCTTTGTGGGTCCCGCTGTAAAATGCAGGTGCCCTGTGGTCAGCAGCAGAGTCTCGCAGGCAGCAGTGTCCACTGGGCTGCCACGTCTGCCCGTCTTCTGTCCCTTCCAGGGCCAAGAGGGTAGGCCTGACCTGTCACCTGCTGCAGCAAGGTGGTGCTAACAGCACACGCTGCTATGTACAGATTCAGCCACGGTCATAAACTGGGCATATGCCCCCTTTCATTCCCTTTTTGTTTTGCTTCAGTGTAAGGGTTTAAAACAAATGACCAAAAACCTGTGCTTCAGTGCCCTGTCCTTGAGAAAGTGTCTGCTTCAGCACGCAGGTTCCTCGCAGTGTCCTGCTGGCAGCAGCACGTTGCCCTGAGGAGCAGCGCAGCGACCCGGCCGGGCAGCGCCGTGTTCTGTCCGCAGTATTGAGCATCCTCCTGGTGCTCAACAAAGCTCTTCTCGTTCCTGTGTCTGGCTGGTGTTGGTGTTGGTGGCCCACAGCCCCCCTCGCTGCTCAGTCTTTCAGCTCAGTGTCTTTCCCCCATGTGGCAGGGCGCTCTCCTCTGCAGCAAACCCTGTCACCTGCTCTCGTACCCTGCAGTGGCTCTCGGTGCATCTGGCCTCTCTCCATGTGCCCTCAATCCATGCTGCTCCCTACACTTGCTCCAGGAAGCTCTTGGGGCCTTGTTTCTTCTTCCCTGCTCCCCGCAGGGGATGTCAGGTAGCTCTGGTCCAGTGAGTGGAGCTTGCTGAGCAGAACAGGGTGACCTGCCCGAGGCCTGGACTCCCTGCTTTCTTCAGCCTATATTAACTGCTTGGTTTTCCACAGGGGACCCTGCAGAAGTTTGTGGATGACTTGTTCCAGGTGATCCTCAGTACCAACCGCCCCGTCCCTCTGGCTGTCAAATACTTCTTTGACCTGCTGGATGAGCAGGCAATACATTACGGGATCGCAGACCCCGAGACCATCCATATCTGGAAGACCAACAGGTACGGGGCTCGTACGGGCCCGGCGGGAGTCGTGAGGTGACAGCCGCCTTGGTCAGCACTGAGGGGGAGTAGAACAGGAGATACAAGACAGCAAAGCACAATATGAAAAGTGGGTTTTGTTGAGAGGAGAAAGATAGGAAATGAAAAACAGTAGCATGTGCAGCACTGTGGCCTTCATCTTTTCTGATGTCCTGTCACATTTGCCTTCTCTGCAGCCTACCCCTGCGCTTCTGGATCAACATCATTAAGAACCCTCAGTTTGTCTTTGATGTGCAGACGTCGGATAATGTCGATGCTGTGCTCCTGGTCATTGCACAGACCTTCATGGACTCCTGTACAATTGCTGACCATAAGCTGGGGAGGGTAAGTAGGGAGATAAAAGCATGGTTAGCACAGTC